GTGGGTGTCAACTCACAAAATGCCCTCCCCCTCCACCTTTCAATACAGATCTGTGCCCTTCACTGGGTATGACATTAAACTCTATCGAGTCGGCTCCTGATGTATGTCTTAGTGACTGCTTTTGTTTTTAGGATGTGATCTGGTTTTTCATGTACATTTTTTGTGATTATGACTATTCTGGATAAAGAATGTTTTGAGCAGAGGTGGATTCAAGGCCCCCCCCCCCTTCATTTTTTTAAGGAAAAAAAGAAAAATATATTCAAATTGAAGTGCGAGAGTGTAATTTCCGGCCATCTAGAGATTCCCTAATCATAAATTTTCTTACCTCAGCCCCAACCATGGTGGGGCTGAGGTGGGTCGTTCCTCGGTGTGTGAAGGTCCCTCCCTGGTTTACCTCTCTTTCGAATTCCTGGATCTGCCACTCTTGATTTATTATATAATTATTTTTGCGCTTATTTATAATGCATCTATTGCAATTTTCACTTTATCCTCTCAAACAGTCCTAAGAACGTTCAGAGTGCGCTACTTCACATGCACACAGGGGGATTCGCCCCTTGACCCTGCCGGGGTCATACGTAACTCGCATAACGGCTCCCCCACTTTCAAAATCCTGGCTACTTCCCTGTCTTGGAATTCCGTCTTTCCAAGATAAAGTATCTCGGAATTCCGCCTTTCGAAGATAAAGTATCTTGGAAAGACGTCTTTCCGAGGTAACGTAGGCCTATCTTAGAAAGACGTCTTTCCAAGATAATTTATCTTGGAATTCCGTCTTTCCAAGATACGTTATCTTGGAATTCCGTCTTTCCAAGATAAATTATCCTGGAAAGATGGAATTCCAAGATAAATTATCTTGGAAAGATGGAATTCCAAGATAAATTATCTTGGAAAGACGTCTTTCCAAGGTACATTATCTTGGAATTCCGTCTTTCCAAGATAAATTATCTTGGAATTCCGTCTTTCCAAGATAAATTATCTCAGAAATCTGTATTTCCGAGATAAATTATCTCGGAAAGATGTCTTAATAAGTATTTATTCCATGTTTCCAAGATAATTATCTTGGAAACTCGGAAACGCGGAAGGTCACTTTAAGATTCCGTAAATAACAGCACTGCGCGTAATACAAAAAAGACACTTAATAGGCTATCAAAAAGTCCAAGTATCAATGGAAGTTTAGAAATCTGAATCAGATATACTTTAACGAAATGTCTGGACATCGTCCGTTCCGAGACTAAATAAATCTGTAGAAGATACCGTAGTGAATTATCTCAAGATGGCTTTGACTTATACCGAATAGACCGACAACAAGATGCGTGGTGGTAGTGTGTTACTTCTCATCAACAGTAAACTGAAGTCAAGTCGTCTGGACAAGTTTGAAGATTGTCCAGTATTAATGCGAGTCAAAATACAACTGTCCAGAAAGAAATGTCTAATACAGAGAACCCCTAATAATAAGGTGACACCATCGAGACTAAAAAAGTGTCCCCTTAATACGGTTTCCCTTAACTGGGTTCCAGTCCCTAATCTTTGTCTTAATCAGTTGAAATGCTTAAGAATAAAATCGATTTTGGCAAAAATGGCGTTCGATATTACTTATTTGCATGGCGTTCCATAGTATACTTTTTCTGGGATTAATTCTCATCAAAAAAGTTTCTCAACATAAACTGACGCTGGTGGCGCTTTCCGAAATGCGCTAATACTACAAAAAATCTATAAATTAGAGACTTGTGGCAAGTCTACGGTTTCCCCTGAATATGGAATACTGACCTAAAATGCGAAATTGTCCCCTTAATATGAATTTCTGAATTTTCATACAATTGACATTCTTGATAATTTCATTGGTAGAATCAGAACTAATTTATAGCAAAAATTTGAAATGTAAATACAATTCATTTATAATATGAAATCAGCAGAAATGTAATTAATACAACAATAGTTGTAAATGTTTCCAATATATTTCATGATGCAATGTTAATGACCAATTCTTTTTTTTTTTTTTTTTTTTTTTTTTTAAATTTTTTTTTTTTTTTTTTCAAATTGAGCTTTCTATTGATGCATGTAGCATGAATAGTCCTTCATGGTATGAATTAGAATCCTGAAGGAAAATACACGCAAAATAAAGAGAAACCATGGTTAAGGGTCAACATTGACAATATTGGTTTATACAAAGTACTAAAGATTTCTAGTTTGACGTTTATTGCTTAAGAGGTGTCAAAATATAAGGTTGAAATCTTTTATTATTTTGAAACTGCTGTAGTTGTTGTGATACAATAAAAAAAAAATCAATAGGGGTTAAATATGTATTGATTTTACTTTTTCGCACACTTAGAAAGTGTTTCACGGAAAAGTGTCCCCTTAAGAGGGTGTCCCTTGAATAGGGGGGCCCCAAAGCCTTAAGAGGGTGTCCCTTGAATAGGGGGGCCCCAAAGGAGGGGTTCTACTAGTTAGCTTATTATTGCCGTCTACAGTACCTCCTCTTCCAAAGAGTTCAATTGATGCTTAATTATACTTAGTATAACTTGGTGCAATATGAATTTCAGGGTTATAACGATGACATTTTATTATTAGGTGAATTTAATCTTCCTGAGATAAATGTTCACTGTAATACACTGATGAGAGATGCGCCGGCTGCTTATATTGCAAGTATTTTATCGACAATTTTAACCAATTTACAATTTTCGAAATGTACGAATCACACGCTGGATCTCATTGAGCAATACGGCATGTAATGAAGTCCAACTGGAGATATATATTCGTCTGATCAGTGTAAAATAAATTTTAATTATTCTATTGAATTTAGAAAAAAAACTCAATATAAAAATGACCAACGATTAATTTATAACATCAGAAAGCTCAATAAATTTGGAGTATGCAACAATTAACGATTTACTTCCTATATTTAAACTAGAAAAGTTTCTCTCTGATTCGGCAACGAACTTTATAATGCATTTAGACTTATAGAAACATATTTTAGGGCAAAGAAGCGAAATTGTTAACGGGTTGAATATCGAAAATTTTCGTTTTACCAGATCTCTTAAAACGATTATGTAGATTTATTTATTGTTCTTATGTTAATGGTTAAATTATTCTCGAAAAAAATGATGTTGTTTCTTCTGAAATGTATTTTAATGGTTGTTCAGCATATTCATATAGCAAATTTACTCAATCTTTTTTCTACTCAGTTTACAATTCTTGCAACAAATTAATTTTATAATCCTTCTTATAACTTATACTTTTTATGGTTTTGTCCCCCGACTTAGATTTATCACTAAGTCTAGTTATAGTCTTCGTAGTATGACACATCCTTACTACTAAGTGTCAGTACAGGGGTCAATATTTTTCAATTTATTTATAAATGATCTTCCGTTGCAATTGAATTATTCAAATTCACTCATTCCTGATGACGTAAGCTTTTTAAAATAATCTCGTCTGTTCAGGATGCAGTTCAACTTCAGGAGGACTGGCTGGGCCGGAATCTGGGGGCTCACACTTACCATTCAAAAATGTAAATTTACGTCCTTTACTCTTAAGAAAAAACCAATTCTGTTCCGTTATAAATTAAATATGCAAGAACTTAGTTTCTGTTCATAAAGATTTAGGTGTTTTTACTGATTACGTTATAAGTTAAATTTCTGTTATGTTAAATATGTTGTGTCAAATGCTAGTCGAATGATGGGTATGTTTTGGAGAAATTGTAGATTTATGAATGATAGGCATGCTCTAGTTTGCTTGTATAAAACGTGTGTTATTAATCGCCAGCATGTGGATTTAACACTAATTTTTGTTTTTATATAGCAACATAGATGTAATTGTTTTGTTTATATACTGTAATATCCAATCGCGATAGCTTGTTTTAATAAATTAACATAAATTTTAAACAAATTATAACTTGCATAGATTTTTAACGGATTTTTTAATACATAATAGGCCTATTTCGGAATAGACCTATCCTTTGCTGTGAACATTTTTTAAACAACCTAATTATACAAAATAATGTTCATAAACGCTGTACCACTACCACACTATAAGTCCTATAACGACAGAAATCATTAATGTTTGTTTTTTAAGTTTCATTAGTTTACAACGATTGAAGTAGTACCATACTACTTTATTATTATTTAATTATTATTAAATCATTACCACTTGTAAAATCATTAGTTAATTATTATAGAACATTTACTTAATTTTATATTAACTAAATTAATATTATTAAAACATTATAACTTGCAAAATCACTATTGATTTGATTGAACAAAGATACAATGTTATTAATTTATTGACTTTCTTATCTACATTTTATTAACTTATTAATATTAAAACATTATAAATAGAAGATATGAACTGTCTTCCACACATTCGAAAAACAACTATATATCACCTCCCTGCAGCAATAATAAACGTTGAATCAATTCTATTAGTTGATTAACAAATCAAAGAGACTAACTCATGAGTTCAAACCGACTAATAATTAAAAGAAAACTCACATGTTTAAACCAAAGTGAATTTGTTTATTTGGTATTCTGGTTATCAAGACAATAGGAAAGGGAAGAAAAATCCATTTAAAAATCTAATATAAATCCTTTTACTCCTACAAAAAAATTTATTTTGTAAAAACTCAATGTATCAACTAATACTGTAATATTACACAGTAATTGGTGTAGTAAACATAATTACCATAACTATTGTGAAGACCTTTTTAGGAAATATATCATAATTTCAAGCCATTGTTCCACTGGCCATCATGTTTAAAGAATATAATTCCAAACAAAAGGGTTATCTTTATATGCTATCAATATTGGCAAAATTTGCTACTGCACATATAAATCAGACATTCAAGACATTTAATTAAGAATCAACAATAACAAAATATAAAAAAAGGCTTAGATTAACATTAATCCTGAATCATCAATCACTTGAACCATCTCAACCATTACAGAGCTCTACAGATTTCAATATACAGTACAGTATGCCTACTTACGGTATAAAGTATTAATCTTTTCTTTACAGTACATACCGATTATTGGTTGAAAGGTCCAAGTCAACTATCAACAGAACTGATTTACATATCAAATTATCTGGCAACAATTAACATTTTGAAAATTATTAAAAATAAAATACTTCTTTATGTTCCTGTTTAGTTAACCACATACATGTAACAATTAAGCTGCTCTTAGAAGTTACCTCACCAATATCTGAATGTATCTTTTTAAAGATTTTCATACTTTTTCTTAAATATAAACTTAACATACTGTATCTTCAATGTGAAGATTAAACAGTGTCTATGCATCCAACACATACAACATTTTCCACAAAAAATGAAATAATAAAATCCAGAAATTAATTTATACAAAAACATGATTGATATGCTATGCTTCAAAATGCAAATATAGATATTTTTGAATGTTATTAACAAGCTGAAGGTGACCTTACATATACATAATGAGAATGAACTCATTACATACTTAATAAATTATTATTTTCAATACAAACCTCATAATCATGGTAAATATTGAAATTTAAATTGCTTGTTTTTATACAGTTGTGCTAGATTTGTCATCTGTCTATAATATTAAATTTCTAACAAAAAATTTAAAATTCCTTAAATGAAAATAAACCATTATAAATGTAATTGTGACAATTAAATTTAATCACTAACACTTTATAAATGTAACCGACAATTAAATTCAATCACTAACACATGATATATGCTAAATATATTCAACTAATAAGTGCATTAATATAAGACAGATGCAGTTTTAGGTAAATATCAGCAGTTGAAATATGTAAATTCATTTTGCATGTACAAGGTACAGAGTGAATATTAATGTACTGTACACTAAACAGAAAATTTCCAATCAAGTGATTATTCTTATGGCAAATGCGCGTGTAAAATATGTAATTCGTAATCTATTATGGACATTGATCTTTTATATCGTAGATAAAATGGCTGGAAAGAATGCTGAATAGATTGCCAGTAAGATATTATAATTAGGTAGCAACATGATGTGTGGACACAACCTGAATTACTGCAATAATTTGGTGAGGTACTCTAAAAGAATCCAATGGCATAATACTTGGATTAAATACTAGCTGCACATTGAGTTAAACTCTGCACTTATTATGTTGGTGATAGTTTCATATTTTAAATAATGAGTTGTTCTAATAATACATTATATTTTTATCATTAAAGACACATTTTTTCACAATTTTGCTGCAGCTTTTAAAATTTGCTTGATTGATAGCTGCAACTAAATGAGAATGATTAGCACACATGTATGCAATCATGTCTCTGCCTTATAGTTTCTGGCCATATTTCAAAGATATTACCAATGACCCCTTTATAGTAGAATTCCTTTAAAAAACCTACCCACATAAAATACAGTAATAATAGTATTAAAAAATAAAGATATACAATCTGTGAAATGCTAAAAATAATTAAATTCAATATTTGAATTTAGCTTGTAAAAGGCTAAATTATTTACTTGCAAATGAAAACTAGAAAACAAAAGTTTCATTGTCAATTAATAGATATACAGTTCTTACATTCTTTTGCATACAGTAGACCCGTACATAAGCTGGTAATACATACATTACAGCACTTATATAGCACTATTTCATGAAGATCAGAGCACTTTTTTTATATTTCTATTATAGATTGTAGCAAGTGAATTATACTTCTATCATTAAAGACATACTTATTCACAATTTTGTAAAAGTTTTATGGATCAGTGAAAAATCAGTTGGTTTTATCTTCACTGAATGATGCTTTAAGACTTTTTGAATGTTTTATTTATTAGATTTTTTTTAGGTTTTTCCAGATTATATGATAGATGGTACATTTTTAATTTCAGCACAGAAATTGATCATAGGTGGATTATAAATAAACAGCTGATACAGCTTTTTCAACAATATAAGTTAAAAGTGACAAAATTTGTGATTCATCTTGCTAAGACCAACAATTGTATATATATAATGATACCATATCACAAATATCAGCTGCGTTTGGTAATGATCTAGATATACATAATTCGATAGAGTACTATGTTTGATACAACTGTTATCTTGTGATACCTTGATATTAATTATTCATTGTATTAGCATTGAGCATCCAGTTGTGATTCCCCAGGTCTCCCTAAATTCTTCAAAATTAAAAATATATGGAGAAAATTATATTCTTACCCACCCCAAAGATGGTGGGGGCTGAGGTGGCCTTAGACCCTTCATCTGCGATAGTCTCTCCCAACCCCTTCCCCCAATATTATGAATTCCTCGATTTGCCACTGGCAACTACCATTTGTGAATACTACTGAATGGCATTGGTAGGACAAAGTATGATCTGGATTAAATACTGTATGCATTCTGTTGTAGAACAAAAAGTATGAAGAGTAACAAGACCAATACTTGCTATGAAATCAATCATAGAGCCATTGTATGTACGTAATGTAATACTTGATGTTGATTAGGCTTCATTTCTAATATAACCTTCAATCAATTCAACAGTTCAAAATACCTGTCCAAATAGGCAAATTAGAGTGACATCTTGTGGTATTTCTGTTCACTACTAATTAATATTGGAATTATTCACTTACTGTTTTTCCTAATCTATGGAATTGCTTGTAAAATTGTCCATTACTGTAAATCAATATCACATACAGCACTAATTAACATTTTTTCATGTTATAATTTTTTTTAAATCAGTTTAACTTTATATTATAATGTAGAGTAATTATATTCAATTTTATACCTGGTAATTATTTTGTATAAGTTGCACTTTAAATTAAAATATACATGATTGCATTGTGTATACGAGTAAATACAATGTTAGTTTTCAAATTTTAACCAGAAAAATTAACTCTATGTTTACCTTTTTAAGGTTACACAATTTGGCCTTGTTTGTTACTAAGTAGAAGGCTTATTGCTTTTTCAAATGGTCTTTTTCGATGGATTGACTGTTTTTAGGTAAAACGTAGGATGAATAGAAAAAGTGACCAAAAAGAAGGAAGTAACTGAAGTACATGAGAAATGAAACTCGGAGATTCAAATCAGTAGTTGAGCAAACTTCTCCTTGTTTTCTGAACATGTAAGCATAACCATTAATTATACAGCCAATAATCATCTGCAAGAGTTGAAGTGATGTAATCATGATGTTGACCCAAGTTGGAACAGAGAGGATTTTTGAGGCTTTTAATGCGTAGTACGAGTACATCAGCGCATGCACTGTGTAGTTCATCAGAACAAAATATCGACCTGGTGCCACAAGATGAGCATAACTGTACCAAGCGTAAAGCAACACAGTGATGTGATGATACCAGTGAAGAAATATCAAACGTTGTTTTCGTAGAATGATAAAAATTGTATCTCCTAACTCTGGCAATTTGCTACAGATGAATACCCAGGACCAGAATCCTGTTACCCCTTGGTAAAATATTGGATCACACATGGATGCTTTGAAGCCGTATTGTTTCACAAAAAATATATAGTCTGTCCATAATCGTATTGCTCCCATCCAACTGAATATGGCTAAAGTCGTTGACCAGATGGTTAGAGGCATCCTGAGGTCATACCTGGGACGATTGGTCATAAAAAATTTACCTCCAAAGATTAGCACCACATATATGGCCGAATACAGGAAGGCTTTGTTCCAGTTTTCTGCAAACCAGTTGACTTTCGAACGATGATCAAAGTCTTTCTCAAACTCAAAAACATTGGAGAACTGCAGAGATGTTCGGTTGACTTGAGGCAAAGCCATCTTGTATCGGTCACCTTTAAACAAAATTGCAAACATTATCAATACAACAACAATGAATTTGAAGTGGCCCTTTCAATTTTAGTTATGGTTTAATGAGTTGTTTTTGTACAGGCTACAAAGTGGTGCAATTGCCCTCTTGCACTAATTACGATGCCCAGAATTCCTTTCATTATGGAGTTTACATAAATATCAGGGGCGTACCGATGGGTGCGGTCGACCCCCTTTTAAAGAAAGTGCCCTTTAAATATGCTCGCTTCACTCACAAATAATGCACCCCGCGAATTCTGAAAGCTTCGCTAAATTGCTCCGAGTTCAGCTTTCTCCCTGCGCTTTCGTTTCTACCCCCCCCCCCCTTAGATTTTTCACCGTACGCCCCTGAATATCTAGCTCAATACTGCATATAACCATGGAGCTCGAACTGCATATCCTAATATGATTATAGTGTTTATCATTGGATTTTCATTAAGAAACATTTGATATCATGCATATCCTAATATTATAAAAATAAAATATTTGACCAATTGTGTTTATCCAAGATATATATTTTGTGACGTACATCACAGATCACATAATTTGCACACACATGAATCATGGGAACAAGAATTAGCTTTCAGTTATTTTATTTCATAAATGGATTAAACATAAATACAGGAAGAAACACGATATATAATATATATAAAAACTGTCTGCCTGGTGAATCCTCATTTAAAAAAAATAAAAACACTTCCATAGAGGGTTTTGCTGATATTCAAGGTGCTCTTTAATAAATGATAACGTGAGGCTTTGTTTAAGCTAGTTTCATTACAGAGACCTCTGGGACCAAAAAAGTGTCCCCTTGATAGGGGTGTCCACTGAAGTGGCTCTAGTGTGAAACAGTGGCGGTGCTAGGATTCCCTAGACTGCAGGGCAGCGCCCCCAACAGACAGGGCAAGAGTTGTACTTTGGGCCGAAAGACTGAGACCTAAAGATGAGTTTTTTAGTCAGAATGTAGTACTGAACTATAGAACAGCTATCCATGCTCAGTGGAGTACTGCCTATGGTCCGCAGGGCCAGCGACACTTGGTTCAGATTCAGATTTCAGATTCAGATATCTTTATTCACTTCAACTGGCAGTAAAATACTGACTTGAGAAAGTTTAGGCCTAAATATAATAAAAATGCATAATTAAGTTGTGTTCTTAAAACACAATAGAGAAAATTGAAAGCTGAGACATTAAGACAGCGGAAAAGATAATTGCGCAAAAAAGGAAATTCAAAGCAAAACATTTTGGAAACTGACATTACAATTTGATCACTACAGTATTATTATAATTATTTTTAAAATTTAATACGGAATATAAAAATATATTATGCCATAATCATAACTTGCATTGCAACTCCCACTATAGAATAGACTATAGGTCCTTTATTAGACCTTTGCAACGCTTCTGTGAGGGGAGGGGTGTGTAAGGGAGGATGAGCTCCCTTCGGGAGGAAGTCAATAATTTTGTCGAGGAACATTGCACCTCAGCCCCAACCATAGTGAGGCTGAGGTGGGTGTGGAATACCTATTGGTTACCCCCTACCCCCTGTCAGAAAATGTTTGGAACCAGCCCTGCATGTGCCATTATTAGGGGTATCCTTAACAGGGGTGTCCCAAAGGGCAGGTTTCGCCTATACACTACAGTTAACCCCTATTCATGGAACAACTCTAGTACTTGGTCCTAAAATATTATTCTGAAAAGAGCTCTAATGTAGAGAGTAACAAGAGGGAAATACATGATCCTTTTCACATTGCACATAGCTTCAAAGTGTTGCTCAGACTCGGGCTCATACTCCAAATATTTAGCGCTCCACTTGATCCTCGAGTAGGCCTAATTCGCCTTCTAATCAAATATTTAATTGTCATCACTAATAATATATGCTCTAAAATATGCCAACAGTGAGAACACTGCCGAGCAAAAGAAATCACCGTATGCCAGAAAAAAAGCGGCCCAACACCACCTTCTCCCCTACTTAAATGATCATCGACATCCATGTGCTTTTGTGAGAGGGGGAGGAGGGGGAAGGGCGCTCAACCGCTAAGCCTAATGCAGACTGTTTCTTTATAGGCCTATATAAATAAGCGAATGTCTTTAAACATTTTCCAAAATTATAATATGCCTGCGGAGAGGATAATTTGACGCATTTTTTTTCTCGAGATCATTCGGCATATATTTTTGGGCTGGTTGTCAATGGAAGTTTCCCGTGTCACGCCAGTGTATTACCGGTGTTTCGACGAGCACGCTGTGTTCTACTGACACGCCCCTGGGCCTTAATTGTGTCTAAGTCTTGTATCCTCTATTTTCAATAAAATGGTAAGTCTACAATTTGTAAAGCGAATTCAGAAGAAAGCAACTGACTAATGATTAAACATAAAAGTTTCTCGATAGATACTTACTAAATTGGTGCAATGACACCCAGGAAACCTACCGACTCGCTTATACTGAAACCACAATATGCATTTCAACACTCTTGCTCTACTCATTTTTGAATGGGCTATTCAATGAATTGATCATCCACCCTCTTTAATTTTTAAGTGAATTTATCTCGTGATTAGCTATCTTATTTCAAATTAAGTATGCTTTTTTTGGGTCAAATCACGCTACATACGATAAAATTAGAATTCGAATGTGTAAAAATGTCATTAAAATACGTCATAGAACGCTAAAAACGCCGAGCGGCCGATCCCAGACCCAGCCGGGCCCTTCGGTTCCGGTTCCGTGGCCCCGTAAAGGGCCCTGCCAAGGACCATGCCCCGGGCCCTCCATCCGTTACGCACTGCCTGTCGGACTTGTTTGAAACCTAGTGTACCCTTCAATATACTATTTTAGCCATAGGCTGAGTCAGTGTGTGGCTGGAGGAGGGGCTACGCTAATTTCAAAACTCATAAGACTCTGGGGAAATTGTAGGGGGAAATGAAACCAGGCCTATATTAAAATTTAAGTCTGAGAGTGTCATTTCCGGCCATCTGTAATCATAAATTTTCTTTTCGGCGCCCTTGAAAACCTTTAATTGTCAAAATTTTCGGGGCTTACCCGGCCTGGACCACTTTACGATCCCCGACCACGCCCAGTTACGGTACGCTCTTCACTTGGATTAATTGTCTCCCACCCCAGTTGGGACATTGGATCCGACCTGTCGAGCAAATCTTACGGCCTTACACAAACACAGGCAAAACTTCAAAACATACGCTTATCCTAAAATTTGAGTAAATTTTGTTTCTTTTCAATTTGTATGAATGTAACTATAACTAACATCCAACCAGTGGCGTATCTAGCAGTATTAAAACTGTCTCTTATACACATCTAGATGTGTATAAGAGACAGACTTATACCAGATGAAAAATATAAATTTTAAAAAAAGCCAAACATTCATTTGAACGTCATATACTTCGAGTCAATAGGAGACAGCGTCACTGTGACAGAGCTGTAACCTTTGAGGAACAATGGTAGCTTATATATATTGTCTACAGTCATAATTGTTAAAACTCGGAGATAATTCCGTCGGTTATAGAATATCGATTTTCAGAGGGGGTGTAAGCAAAGCCTGGAAAATAAAACGCTATTACTATAGCTACGGTTAATGCATTTGATTGGGTTAAATCAATCACGTGGTACATCGTTCGATTCGCCGTTAGAACGTGCCCTGGAATGGATCCATACTGCCGTCGTAGATAATGAAGCATGTAATCCGAGTCGGGATTACAGTATTGTTATGGGATGCCAGTTGGCGCGGATCTAGACATTTGCAGTAGGGAGCAGTGACGGTGCTAGCGTCTGAAATCTGAAAGCGGTCCAGGGGCGGACCCCCGAAAATTATGACGATTTAGGGGTTTCAAAGGCTTATTTAATCGATTTTACATTATAGTCTACTAATAGGCTATGTAGAAAATACATATATAATAGTTTTTCTCCCTGACGAATTGTGATTCTTCTTCTTTTCTGCGTGGGGGTGGGGGGTTAAAGAAGAGCTTAAAGGACGTGTGAAATATCGAGGAGAAATTGGGAGGGAGTGTGTGTCCTCCCAACATTCGGCCAGATTGTCGAAACCCAATTTCCGAATACCAGATTGCCGTTTCCACTTTGCTGAAACCCAGTTTGCTAAATGCCTTTACGACTAAAAAAAATCATGAATCCTATTTTGCCGAAAGACATTAAAAGCAGTAAAACATTCAGGAAAAATTTGGTCCGGGGCCAAAATCGACGGTCCGCCGGACCGATTTTGGCTTTAAAATTACCTGCCAAATATAGAAATATATATATAAGGCAAAATCGGTCCGGCGTCTATTTAATAGTTATAACTTGTATTTTTATAACGCTGTTCATATTTTTTTGTAATCAAATGATAGATAAATATCTTATCTCTTATTATACAGCCTAATATGTTTTCATTCGTTATTGTATGTGTGAAATCATCTATAGGTGAAATCACTGGTGAAAATTAAGTAAAGCTTCGCGCCCAGTAAATCCTTTGGTGTAAAAGTACGAAAAGAAGTTAAACTATGTGGTCTTAAATCGTGTTGGTCTGCTGTAGTTCATTTTTTACCTTGTTTTCAGCGTGACCACTGCTTGGGTATTTACCCAAGATCATAGGTATTTTGACTTGGTCTTGGGTTCTTGGTTGGGTATTCCGTTTAAATCCTTGGGTATTTTATTTTTACTAAGAAAATTAAATATTTTTGTCATAGAGGAAGAATTAAAGAGTAAATATATTTCAGTCCATTCAAGTAAGCAAAACTCAACGAAGTGCACATAACATTGTTAATTGACTGTTAACTGCTATAAACATGGGTTCAGAATTGTTAATTTGTCATTTGCGTTGCCATTGATCTTACCTAATTAATGCATTACATAATAAAACTTGATCACTGATCTACACTGATAACACTGGCCGACTGAGGGCGTATTTTTCTATATTACCTCATGATTATTAATTTTAATAATTGGTTATAAATTGGTTTATAAATTGAACTAAAAGGGAAACTATACATGCGAAAAACACGTATTTTTCAAATTTTGATGCATTTTCAGGAAGCTTGGGTAATTTTGGGCAATATTTGCTGAATCTTGGGTAATTTCGACCCAGTCATTGGGTAGGCCTATATCAAAAACTGTGAGTGGTCACGCTCCTTGATTTGTTTTGGTTGTGTGTCATGCTCCGCGACTAAGTACATGTATTCAATTCTGAGAATGCTTACTCCTTTATTTCATGTATTAGAACATCTAGTGTATGACCCAATACCCCACACAATAATACGGAATATTTAAAACTAATAAATCAGTCTTGTGTTTCATTTTAGGCCCAAACGTAGGCCTAACCAAAGCCGCCGAAATGATTCACGCTGTGTGTATCGCTTAGCTAGGAAATGCATTACCTATCTGGTGGTTTGATAAACACTGTCACTGTCACTGCAAAAGACTTTGCAAGTGTGGGAGAAGCGTACTTTCCTCCACCCCACGGGAGAAACAATCATACCCTACACTAGCAGCAGACGAGTTACAAATGAAGTGGCCAGGCCGACGCGAACCAATTTTATCCAAGCGGGACCGGCGGTTTTAGCGGCTAAAATCAATCCGTAGGACCCAGTTTAGTAATCCGGCGGAAAGATTTTGGCGGCCAAAAAATGTCCGGCGGACAGATTTTGGCCGCCAAAATCGGTCCGCCGGATTACTAAACTGGGTCCTACGGATTGATTTTAGCCGCTAAAACCGCCGGTCCCGCTTGGATAAAAACGGACCAATTTTGGCGTGACAGGGCCTAAATGTTTTATGTAATTTTCATGTTTTCCCGATATTGCCTGAAAAACATGAATTGAAAGCTAATTTATGTATACAAAGTCAGAAATTTAAAAAGTAAAAAAAAATAAAATTATGAAAAGCGGAGTTTCCTTCTTTCGTTCTGCCGGGTAAAATCAATTACTTTACTTTCGGCGACGTTTGTAGACTAACCTACGCTAGCCAGGCCTACTACTAGACTAGCTAGGATGGTAGGCCTAGCCTTGAAGGGACGAAGGTCTCAATGAAAAACAACGTCGCTCCTTGATAGCTAACATTGTCTATTTAACATCACAATAATTCATTATTAGACCTATAGTTGTTTTTTGAATTGTACTCCACAAACCTCAGCCGATACCTCGCACAACTCAA